CGCCCGGGAGTATGTCTCGGAAAGGGGGCCAAAAAGAAATGCCCACTTTGGAGGGAACATCTACGGCGGGCTTCCACCAGCCGAATCCACCAAGCAAACTTCAGAAAGCCACAAGTTCTATGCCTAGGGACCAGAGGTTCCAGGTACTCTCCTCCCGTCCAGTGGCACGCCGCAGGGGAATCCGATTTTCGGGCAACGAGGCGGCGCCGTCTTCGGGAGCTTGCTGGGGGGCGCGCTGATCATGTCCCGGGGCCGGCGGACGAGCATTGCGGTGAGCGCGCTGCCCTTCCTGATAGGCTGGAAGGGGGAATTGGGGCGTAGGGGGGTGTTCTCTGTTCCTCACTCCCTGAGTTCATGGACTTGACACTTGTTGGGAAGACCCAATCTTAGTGGTAAGCAGACAGTTCGGACTTTTTGTGGCCAGTGCGACGTCCACTCGAGAAGCGAGGTTCTGCAGTGTTGACCTTCAAGCAACCGCAATTGTATCGCCTCAATATTTTGGCTCGAGGCATTAACATATCGCTCCGTTCTTCTTTCTTGTCTCCTTTGCTTCTTTCTTTCTTGCTATTTACGTATCGAGCTCTCTCTCTCTCTCTATGTATATATATATATATATATATCTATCTATGTACACCTATTCTACCTGCCTACCTACCTACCTACCCATCTATCTACCCATCTATCTGTCTATCTATCTATCTATCTTGCTATCTATCTATCTATCTATCTATCTGTCTGTCTATCTATCTTATTTATCTCTTCTATTCGCATGCCTACCTACTCATGTATCACTCTATCGTTCGCTTTTTATCTACCTATTTGTCTCATCTATCTAGCTATCTCCTATCTCTCTATCTCTGTCTATCTATCTATCTGTCTGTCTGTCTGTCTGTCTGTCTGTCTGCCTGTCTGCCTGTCTGTCTGTCTGTCTGTCTATCTATCTTTCTCAATTAATCTTATTTCTCTCTATCTTTCTACTTCTCCATTTATTCTTGTATCTTTCTTTTTATCTATCTGTCTATCCATCCATCCATCCATCCATCCATCCATCCATCCATCTATCTATCTATCTATCTATCTATCTATCTATTTATTAACCCAGTCTACTTTAATCTACTCTACTCTACGCTAATCAAATCAAATCAAATCAAACCAAGTCAATCTATCTAATCTATCTGTCTATCTTTCAGATGTCTATCTGTCTATCTGTCTATCCCATCCATCTATCCATCCATCCATCCATCCATCCATCCATCCATCCATCCATCCATCCATGCATGCATGCATCCATCCATCCATCCATCCATCCATCCATCCATCCATCCATCCATCCATCCATCCATCCATTTATCTATTCATCTATTCATCTATTCATCTATCTTTCTAGAAGAAGGAGGGAGGGGGAAGAACATTTCAGGCGAGTCGGGTGGCGGCGCTTTGCTTGGTTCCAAGCAAACAAAAGCACTTTGCTCTGCTGGTCCCCTGAAAGATTGGCTAGAAATAAAGTGTCCCCTTTCAATTTGGATGCATGCCAAATGCTACAGTTGATCAGCATACCACGCGACAAGGCACAAATCATGGCCCGTTCTCGTTTCATCCTCTTACACCAGGGTGGAAGCAGATGTCGCGTTTCCTTTGTGTTAGAACTTGCAAAGGGTGACTCGGAAGTGTGCGAGTTTCCTAAATCCATTTGGATATTTTTGTGCCTTCGCAAACCTTTTTTCCCCCTTCTTTTTCTTCCTCCGCATTCACATGGTCCTGGTCATCCTTGCATTGTGCCCTCTACTTTGTTTGCAGCCTTCCAGCACGGGGCAAGAAACAGAAAGGCTTCGACGAATGGACAATTGTTTGGCAGACACCATCCAGTCTAGGCAGCTTTAGGAACAACCTGTGTAATACATGCCTAACACTAACATGCAATGGAAACCCACGAAACACCCACACGCTATTTTGTGGGTTCCCAGTTGGCTCCATAATCACACGTGGGTGGGGTTTCTAGAAATCGGGAACTCCCGTTTCGATTTGTCAAATAGGGGATGCCCAACCCCAGCGAAAAGAAAACATGATCAGAGTCTGCGGTTCCCCTCCGTAATTTTGAGCTTGTTTGTTTACTTGTGTGTGTAAAGGCCCAAAAAGTTCAAACCTTTATTGGTCAGTTAACTAAGATTTATCGCCATGGTCCCGGAAGTCAGATGGAGGCACTTGCGAATTTGGGCGCGTCTTTTTGTGAGGATTTGGACCCTCCGGTTTTGTTTGGTTTTCCTGTTGGCGCCCCTTTGAACCAAGTTCCCAGTTTCTGGGTACCAAGTTCAAAATAAGTTGCACGAGCCACATCCATCCGGTTGGCTCATCTTTTTCGGATTCTGCCAGTTTGGAGGCTCGTTTTTTTCCCCCTTTTTTTTCTGGGGGATTTTTTTCAAATGGTTTCCTGAGCGTGGATGGCACGGGTAGCAAACTTGGGTGGCACCTGCGTTTTTTTTTTTTTTGAGGGTGTTTTCAGTGAATCCACAAAACAAACTGAGCCATGTTGGAATTTGGGTTGCACCCGTTTTGAGAGACCTTCTGGGGATTTTGCCAAATGGTTTCCTGAGCGTGGATGGCACGGGTAGCAAGCTTGGGTGGCACCTGCGTGTTTTTTTTGAGGCTGTTTTTCAGTGAATCCACAAAACAAGCTGAGCCATGCTGGAACTCGGGCGGCGCTTTTTCTTTTTGAGAGACCTTCTTTTTTTTTCTTGGGCTGAGGGCCTCTGCTGATCTTCACGGGCCGCGGCTTCTGGCAGCTGCTGCTGGGGCGGCTGCTCATGGGCTTCGGCTTCGGCCTGGCCTCCGTGGCCACGCCCAACTACCTCTCGGAGGTGGTGGTGCCCGCGCCGCGGCGCGGGGGTGAACTTGCGGGCGGGTGAATTTGTGCGGGGGGGGGGGCGTGGGTGTTGCGTGGGGTGGTGGCGTGGGTTTGGTGGGTCTGGGGTTTGGGGGGGGGATTGGGGTTTGGACGGGATCTTGATCTTTTGTGATTTGGGGCATCATTGAGGTGGGGATTCATGTCCACCCATCACTTTGGGGCTGGTTTCTGATTGAAATGCGTTGCCAAAGGAGCAAGAGTTATGTCCTGGCACCGCACAAACAAGATCCCGAGCCGTTACGTAAGAGGGCGTAAGAACATTCCCGTGGGAAAGGTTCGGAGGCCACGGCAAGAATCCTTTTGCTGCGGATTGTGTGAGTGACTTGTTTCTCAGGGCTCCTTAAAATAAATACATTTTTCCCATTTGAAACATGGCTTTTTCCACCAAAATAAAGAGAACCACCATGTACAAGTTGCAATGTTCAGGTGTTTCTCATGCATCCGGATCCCTGTTTCTCCGGAGCTGTTCTCATGACATCTCAACACCAGTCAGTGGCAATGCAACCTGCGTCAGTCAGTGCTCGTTCGCGCGGAAAAGTGCGCAATGTCCAGCCAGTTTCTGAGTTGAGTTTGGGTTAAAGTGGCCCGGCCATGGAAGGATTTTTTCCATGGCGCGAGTTTGCCATGTGCCTTTCAAGGAAGCTTCCTAAGGGATTGGAACCCTCTAATGTGAACTCCGCATCATGAAGCCGCTGGTTCTCCTTGTAATGGGTCTCTTTGTCTCACTTTTGTGGGTGAGACCCTATCAATATTCATTCAGGTTAACATTGTACAAGATTGTGGTGTGAGGCCAAGCCAAGAAAACACCCATCATTTGCCAGGGCTCCTTCAAAGAAATACATTTTGCAACCATTTGAAACATGGCTTTTTCAACGCCAAAATAAAGTTGGAAACAACACCATGTACAAGTTGCAATGTTCAGGTGTTTCTCATGCATCCGGATCCCTGTTTGCTTTAGGTTTCCCGTGTTTTGGAGTTCCAGACTTGGGCTCCAACCGGCAGACAATTAATTGTCAGCCTTGTTTGAGATTCGGCGAAGGGGCGCAGAGATGTATGCTGGCCTTTTTTGTGGATTCCTTTGCAAGACTAAATCAAGCAATAGCACTACTAGATGAATTGGAATCTCAACGCCAGCACCAAATCAAATGGAAAAAGGGCAGCCAACAAGAGGCCCCTAGTTTTTACACACATTTTACAATTCATTTCCCGACTGCTTACCGTCACTGGCACGGGGGTCGGATTTTTTTAGACAACTTGGCATGCGGAGCTCGTTTCCAAAGAAGAAACAACGTAAAGGAAACTCGTGGGTTGTCCAACCATAAAATGCAGATGATATTTTCAACGGGATCCACATGGGCTTGTATGATTCTTAGAGGGAACCCCTCTTTGGGGTTGGTTTTACAGGGACACCACAAGGAACACCACCCGTTTTGGGACACCAAAAGGACCACCGAAGCGCATGAAGCTTCCGGGCCTCCGAAAGCGCTTCATGCGCTTCAGCCGAGGAGAAGCGAGGTATGGTGGAGGCGGGGTAGGCGACCCGACAATGCAGGCTCCTGTCCAACATGGAACTTGTTCTTTGTTCCATTTCTTTGGGCAGGAGGGCCAGCTGGAGGGTTTCTTGACATCGAAATCCCAGGGTTCCAGACGTGACTGGCAGCTGCGTGGTTTGGGTTGGCTTGTATCCTTTTATAGGTTTTTGTTGGCTCTTGTTGGTTTTTGTTGACTGGCTTTTGTTGACTGGCTTGTATCCTTTGTTGACTGGCTTTTGTTGGCTTCATGGTCGCTGCGTTTCGGGCGCTGCGTTTCGGGGCGAGGACACCAAGTGGACTTGTCAGGCGATGTACGAGCTGGGGATCGCAACTGGCATGCTTCTCTCGGCCATTGCGAACCTGAGTATCGAGGCGGGGCTCGGGGTTCGGGGGTCGAAAGTTGGGGGTCCTGGGAGGGGAGGGGGGGAGGGCCCGGGCGGTTGGGGAGCTGCTGCAATTGGCTTGGCAGCTTCTCGGGAAAAGTATCCTAACCTTCTCAACCGGAAGTGGTAAGCGGCTGCAGAGCTGAGTTATGGGGACTTGAAATGAATTGATTTATTTGTAGATCTGCCTATCAGGCTCTAGATGTCATGATTTGTAGTCGTTCTGGCTGTTTGGGGATATCCTCCGAGGGTGTCTCTGAGGTTGTTTTCGAAGGGGTCCTGGGGGATGTATGTGGGGGATATCTGCGGGGGTTTCTTTGGCGATGTTTCATTTGGGACGTTTGTGTGGCTGTCTTGGGTGGGTGTTTTGGGGATGTCTGTGTCTCTTGGGGGTGTCTTAGCTTTGGAAGGTGACTTGTAGGGATGTCTTCAGGGGATGTGTTTAGGGATGTCTTTGGTATTTCTTTGTGGTTGTCTTAGGTGATGTCTTTGGGTTGTCTTGGCAAATGCCTGCGGGGATGACTTTGGGATGTCTTTGAAAGGGTCTGGGGGAATGTCTGTGGAGGATATCTGTTGGGGATGTCTCTGCGGTTGTTTGGAGGATATCTATTGGGTTTCATGAGGGACGTCTTGCGTTTGCGGCTGTGGTGTTTTGAGGATGTCCTTGGAGGATGTCTTTGGGCATGTCTTTGCGTTTGTCTTGGTTGATGTCCTTGCGGGGTGACTTTGGGGGTGTCTCTGCAAGGTGTCTTGTGGGGATGTCTTTACTGGTTTCTTGGCGTTTGGGGGTGTCTTCGGGGATGTCTTTGGGGGATGTCTTTGCTGTTATCTTGGGTGATGTCTTCGGGGATGAATTTGGGATGTCTTTGGAGGGGCTCTGGGGGGGGAAGGTGTCTGTGAGGGTTGTGTTGTTGGTTGGGTGAAGTATTTGGGGATGTCTTTGGGTATGTATTTGTGGATGCCTTTAGGAATTGTCAATGGGGGGGTCGGCGGCATCTACGGTGTCTTCGTTCAAGCTTTGTCATTGAAGGTATCTTTTGCGCACTTCTGCATTCGGGGCACGTGGCCTCTATCAGAACATTTGCACACAACCCTGGAATTGGTGGTTTGAGTTGGCTTGGAAGCCACAACCAACGAATCACACTAACTAGATGAAGGCGAAATAAGACATCTCGTTTCCAAACCAAAACCAAAACCAAGCCAAACCAACCCAAACCAAAGCCAAGCCAACCCAAACCAAAGCCAAGCCAAACCAAAACCAAAGCCAAGCCAAACCAACCCAAACCAAAGCCAAGCCAAACCGGCCCAAACCAAAGCCAAGCCGAATCAAAACCAAAGCCAAGCCAAACCAACCCAAACCAAAACCAAGCCAAACCAACCCAAACCAAAACCAAGCCAAACCAACCCAAACCAAAGCCAAGCCAAACCAACCCAAACCAAAGCCAAGCCAAACCCAAACCAAAGCCAAGCCAAACCAACCAAAGCCAAACCCAAACCAAAGCCAAGCCAAACCAACCCAACCCAAAGCCAAGCCAAACCAACCCAAACCAAAGCCAAGCCAAATCAACATCAAACCCAAGCCAAACCAACCCAAACCAAAGCCAAGCCAAACCAACCCAAACCAGAACCAAGCCAAACCAACCCAAACCAAAGCCAAGCCAAACCAACCCAAACCAAAGCCAAGCCGAATCACAACCAAAGCCAAGCCAAACCAACCCAAACCAAAACCAAGCCAAACCAACCCAAACCAAAGCCAAGCCAAACCCAAACCAAAGCCAAGCCAAACCAACCCAAACCAAAGCCAAGCCAAACCGAGCCAAACCAGAACCAAGCCAAACCAACCCAAACCAAAGCCAAGCCAAACCCAAACCAAAGCCAAGCCAATCCAACCCAAACCAAAGCCAAGCCAAACCAACCCAAACCAGAACCAAGCCAAACCAACCCAAACCAAAGCCAAGCCGATTCAAAACCAATTCCAAGCCAAACCAACCCAAACCAGAACCACAGCCAAGCCAAACCGAGCCAAACCAACCCAAACCAAAACCAAGCCAAATTAACCCAGACCAAAGCCAACAAACCAAAGCCAAGCTAAACCAAAACCAAAGCCAAGCCAAACCAACCCAAACCAAAGCCAAGCCAAACCAACCCAAACCAAAGCCAAGCCAAATCAACATCAAACCCAAGCCAAACCAGAACCAAACCAAAGCCAAGCCAAACCAACCCAAACCAAAACCAAAACCAAACCAACCCAAACGAAAACCAAAACCAAGCCAAACCAACCCAAACCAAAGCCAAGCCAAACCAACCCAAAGCCAAACCAAAGCCAAACCAACCCAAGCCAAAGCCAAGCCAAACCAAAGCCAAGCCAAACCAACCCAAACCAAAACCAAAACCAAGCCAAACCAACCCAACCCAAAGCCAAGCCAAAGCCAAGCCACACCAACCCAAGCCAAAGCCAAGCCAAACCAAAGCCAAGCCAAACCAACCCAAACGAAAACCAAAACCAAGCCAAACCAACCCAACCCAAAGCCAAGCCAAACCAACCCAAACCAACGCCAAGCCAAATCAACACCAAACCCAAGCCCAACCAACCCAAGGCCAAGCCAAACCAACCCAAACCCAAACCCAAACCAACCATTTTTTTCTCAAGATGTTGCAGGACTTGTCCTTGATTCAGGACGACGCGCGCGCGCGCGTGCGCGACGCGTTGCCAAGCTGCGCAGGCGCTGGGTGAGGAGGGCATCTGCGCCTTTGACCTGGGCTGCTGGCGGTTCCAGGCCCGACGTGTGATCCAACGGGTTTGTTGGTTGGCACACGGTGACAGCCCACATCTTTACATTTTACCAGTGACTCAAGGTGAAGCAAACAATAAACTACACATTCTATAACTGGGCCTAACTCCAATCATGTATTCCCTTGGTGCATTTGCCAACGGATGTTGGGACTTTAACTTTTTGCCAACGAATGGCTTTTCCGTATTTATCCACTAAAAGTGAGTCGCTTTTAGCAGGGCTTCCCAGATTTCGCCACCGAGTGGACATGGCATAACTGGAAGCATCAGAACATTCCAAGCTTTTCCGCGCATCCTGCTCGAAACCAATTCCTGACACAAGCTGCTCGGAAGGGGAAGCCCAATGGAAGACTACTCGGAAGCCCAAGGACTTGAGGAAGCACAGATCCGGCCGGTTGGGCAGCTTTGCTGGTGCAGCGAGCTGGCAGCTTTGCATGGTGAATGTCGGGGTGCCAGGGAGCATTTTTGTGGCCTACTCTTTGGTTTTTCATATTCCGCAGCGACCAAAAAATGGGAGTTTTGAGGACGGTGAAGTGTTTTTTGAGTCCGCGGGGGTTTCCAGGAGCCTTGGATTGTTCTATGCAGGCTCTCCGAACAGATCGAGTCCAGTCTGAGCTGTGGCTGTCAATAGCAGCTGCAGCTGAGTCCCAGCAGTGGTCCCGCCCATTGAAACCTGTACAAGTCCATTGTGGAACCAAAGAAACACTGTTTTTTTTTTTTGGGGTTTGAAAGGCAAAAAGGCAAAGCAAAAGGAAAAACTGAGCCATTTTGGGTTTAGGTGTGTGTGTGTGTGTGTTTTTGTTAGGACTCCCCAACATGGCGCGGTTTTCCTTTTGCTTTGCCTTTCCAGCCCCAAAAAACCAAAAGAACAAACTAAAAAAAAGAAACAAGCACCCAGAGGCACAGAAGTCAGAAGTGTATCCAAAGGCCCCCAACTGCCTCACGCCAGGCCGGTTTGGTGCCGCTGTGCTTCGCACTGCCCCTGACCTTGGCGGTGATGTTGGTGCCGGAGTCTCCGAGGCCCCGAGCGGCTGGATTTGTTGCCTGCAAAACAGGGGGTTGGTCAATTTGGGTGTGGCTTGGGAGCGGTATGTTTGCAGGTTGGTGAAGAAAGGGCAGCAAGAAGAAGGGGCTTCCAATGAATAGCCTAAAGTTTTCTGGTTTTTCACCCCGCCAGAGCAAATGGGAGATCGGCGCCTGGCCTGAAAGATGGAGAATCAGATGAAGAGAGGCTTGTGCCAAGAGATACATTTTCACGCTTCTCGAGTCACTCCTTGGATTCAGTGCTGGGCTTCGAGTTTGGAAAGTAACAAAAACCACGCTTTCCGGGCCGGCTGCGCGCTCCTTGTGACTGGCAACTATGTATGCGTGTGCGTTTTAACTGATGGTACCCTTTTCCAGTTGACTTTAGAGGCAAACCAAAAGACAACCATCCATTTTTTGGGTGCCCTGTTTTGATACATACCCTATTCCGCTCGTTTTGCAAATTACTCCTTATGTCCGCCTCGGCACTCCTTATGTGCTCAGCAAGCAGAAGCTCTTCGAATCAATCAGGTGTGCAACATGAGCCGCTCCAAGGGAAAATATGTTCCGGATTCCGGATGAGTCCAAAGCTCAAAAAGCCGCTCAAAGCTTTTATCCTTCAGTCTTTACTCCTGGCTTTAACCGTTTGTAACTAAAAGTTGGCTGCAGAAGCAAGCAGCACTTTGGGAAAGGATGTTAGCTCAGTTTGCTTTGAGCTGGCCCTGTTTTTGAGTTTCAGCGTTGCATCCAGCTCAAAGGACCTTCCCACATCGGCGTTTGCGCCTACTGAAAGTGGTGGTGGTGGTGGTGGTGGGGCTTTTTTGCTTTTTTTTTCTTTCTTTTTTCTCTTTTCCCAAAATCAGATGGTTCATTTTCCTTTTCCCTTGTTTCTCTTTTCCCAAACCCAAATGACTCCGATCAGCCGATCGGCCGAACACACAGAGCCCGGGCGGCCGAACTTATGAAACAGATAGGCCACACACACACACATGCACAGATGCACGCCCTCTGTTTGCAGTGTTTTCAGCCCTCGGTTTCCCCTGAAACACCCACTATGTTCCCAGCTTCTTTATACACCGATGCGCAAACAATCACTCAGACAAGCCTTGGTGGTTTGGATTGGATTGGTGGATTGTTTTTTCTTTTGTGGAGGGAGGGGAAACCATCCCCAACCCCGAAGCCGCCAAGCCACCAGACCACCAATCATACCTCTATCCTTTGTCCCTTTCTCGAGTTCCAAGAACGCAGCAAAACCGATCCCGTTCAGGAGGGTGAAGGGTGAAACAAAAGGTGCAAACATGGTACCCTGATTGAGGGCAGACCCACCTATCGCACCACCGAACAGCTCCTGAAAGCTGATCTGGCCATGGGTTGTACCTATGGCGATCCCATGTTGTGGATGAACATCCAGTTGCTCAAATCCATGTACCAAAATGGCCCCCTTGTACAGGGGACCAAAGAAGCTACCTTCTTCGGAAATCCCTAGCTCCGTAGAACTTTTTGAGCCACCAATCCATTTCTTCACCAATTTTTTGATGTCCACCAGGCACGGTTTTTTTGTGGGTTTTGACCACGAACCCGTCGGCTTTTCAGGTGGCTGCTGCAGGCCAAAGGCTCCTCTTCCGAGGGCCTCTTCTGCAGCCTCCAGGCGCGCGAAAAACGAAAAAGCCACTGGTGGGGTAGGTTGGCTCCTTGAGGTTTTTGGGGTCATCGGACACTTTCTACTTTTTTTGAATGGCGCTTTCGGACAAAAAATGAAGGCGGCCTGCTGGCTATGGCTTGGCATAGGTGTGCTTTTTTAGGTGAGTTCTTGGCTCAACATAGATGGGCTCCACTGGCTTAGATGGGCTTTATCCCATTTGCCAGGGCCACCTATTTTGCCAAAAGGATCCGCCTATGTGTGGATAGACGTTGTTCGTGGTTGCTAAATAAGCCCCCCCTGGTGGTGAAGACACCCCTTTCAAGGGAGGCGGTTCATTTCGCCGGATTTGGGCAAACCCTGACCCAAGGGCCAGAGATTTGGCTCAGGACGTCTGTCCTGTGGCTTATGTTGACCCCGGAGGAACGCCAACCCCTGGTTGGTCAATGGGTGCGGTGTGTTCCTGTTTAGTGGGGAGTAGTTTTTTTTTTTGGAGGGAAGGACGGGCTTATCAATCGGGGGTCGGCAGAACATCTTTTTGATGTTTGTTCATATGGGCACCCCAACGTGGTGGTTTTACTTGTGGTTTCCCTTTACACACAACAACAAAGTTTTACTCCCCCAAAGACACACCCATATTTACCTCCACGGGGGTTTATCGCATTGTGTGTTATTATTTTTGGATGGGTTGGTTTGAGGGAAGCCGAAAGGGACACATTTCTCAAGATGGGACGCGGAGGTTCTTTTTGGTATGTTGGGGGGCCGATTTGCCAAAATATGAGAAGCACCAAACTGGTGGCAAATCACAGGTGGTTCTACCTGCAATTGGTTTCATGGGGTGCCCGCATGAACCATGTTGAGATCGAACAAGTCAATGGGGGAAATGTGGGTGTGTCTTTTTTAGGGGACCTCCAAAATGGTGTTTTTCCATTGGTTTCCCTTTGCCCCAAAAGGATGAAACAATAATACCAGAAACCCCCATGTACACGAGATTCTTGCCGAATTAGTGGCCACTTCCTTCTGGTGTGTCAGATAAGAGGAATCGTGGCCATGGTCTATCCGGAGTCAGGCAAGCTTTTGTTTGTTGCTTTTTTTTCCCGAAAGCATGGCGAAGGGTTCTTCCGTGCGGAGCTCTTGGTCAACTTGTGCAGAGTAGCTTGCACAGAGTCACCAGCATGGAGATACCAGCATGGAGATACTTGCACAGAGTCACCAGCATGGAGATAGTTGCGCAGAGACACCAGCATGGAGTCACCAGCATGCTCAGAGCGAAGTGCAAAGAGGGTGCAAGGAGCCAAGTGCACAGAGCTAAGTGCACAGAGCCAAGTGCAAAGAGCGAAGTGCATCGAGCCAGGTGCATAGAGCCAAGTGCATAGAGCTAGGTGCATAGAGCTAAGCTAAGCTAGGTGCAGAGGCTCGGCGTTAGCAGTTGTGTAAGCTAGGTTAAGTAAGTTAGGTTAAGTACTTAACGCGCGGGAAAGAAAGAGAAAGAGCTCGGTATTAAGAATCTCTTTTCAGGCGGGGGGTGGGGATGTTGCCGACGATCGGGAATGCGACCCTCTGCGGGGATCGCGTGGTCGAGGTACAAAAACTCGAGGTTTTTTGCGTTTTTGTCAGTGCCCGCGCGACCCTCTGCGGAGATCGGCGTGGTCGAGGTGCAAAACTCGAGGTTTTTTTTTTTTGCGTTTTTTGATATGCCCGCGCGCGACCCTCTGCGGAGATCGGCGTGGTCGAGGTGCAAAACTCGTTTTTTTTTTAAACGTCTTTTGATATGCCCGCGCGACCCTCTGCGGAGATCGGCGTGGTCGAGGTGCAAAAACTCGAGGTTTTTCGCAGTGCCCGCGCGACCCTCTGCGGGGATCGGCGTGGTCGAGGTTCAAAAACTCGAGGTTTTTTGCGTTTTTGACATTCCCAGATGAATTGGTTGGAAAGCACGAAGATGATCTTTCCCACATGAGAAAAGTTGCCCAAGGTCATTTGAAAGCCTAATTGGAATATTGATCCCCCCCTTGTCCAATATTTGTTTTTATTTTGTTTAACTTTTCCACAGATGCACCCCTAAAGACCAAAACACGTTTGTTCCAACTGGTTGTGAATTTGGAACACCCCCTAATCAGCAAGTTGTTTCCGACTGGTTGACAAGACCGCCGTTCAACTTGCTAACCCCACCGAACCGCTCTGGAGCACGACCGCTCGAGGAGATCGGGCGCTTGGGGCGCCACGGTGCCGCCGAGCGGCTGAAAACTATCGAGGCGAAGAGGCGGAAAGATGACGGCGACGGCGCGTTCTTTCGCGTTTCGGCGGCGCAAATTGTGCGTTTTAGGGTACGCTCCCAGAAAAACATTTTTCTTTGAGGAATTCGTGTTTTGTTTTGGCATGCGTGTGGCGCATGGGTGTATTTTGTTTCCAAGTTTTCGGAAGTTGTTGCCCGTCTGTGCTTGTGGCTCGTTTATGTGTTTCCTCAAATCGTTGCTTCTTGGCCTGCTTCGTGGTTTGGCTTGGTCTCTGGGCCGTTTCCAGACACCGGGGGCAGATTCCACCGTTTGCCGACCCGCGTCGGCCTTCGATGTCGACTCCGTTTGTCAGTGCGGAGCTGATGTTGTCCGACTTCGAGGAGACCAACGACGACCTGATCCGTGCCTCTGCTGGTTTTGGGTTTGCCTCTCACCCGCTGCATGCAAAACATGGGTGTGCCTTTTGGTGGGAGAACCTTTCTTTTGGTTGGGATGGGATCATCAAGCAAAGGCATAGTCTGTTGTTTTTCATTGCGAACAGAACTTTTGTTTGATACCCATCCCTTTTGGTTGGCTTTGCCAAGAGAACCCTCGGAGTTTTTTTTCTTTTCGCCTCTTTGAGAGATTTGGGGGTGGTGTTCCCCACAAGGGCACGTTCCCCACAAGGGCACACCCCCTATCAATCCATTGTCCGGTTGGCGACTTGGATGGTGGTTTGGATTTGGATTTGAACCCCTGGATCTTGTAGAAGGTAAGTGGGGTTCCCACCCCCTGCCCAAACCACCAACAGCCAAATCACCAAATAGAGGGAGGCTGAGGTTTGTTCATCCGTTGCCGCTACCCAGATATATTTTCATGAGGTCTCGAAGGATATGGACAGGGACCCAAACTGGTTCAAGTTTAAGCCCCTTTGAAACAATTTCAAAAAGGGTACCGAGCGTGTTTAGAGATTCCATAGTCCCCTTCAGCGTTCTGCGGAAGACCCCACAAAAGATTGGCCGCAAAGAGAAGAACCACGTGCTGACATCGGACCTGTTTGATAGGTGCACTGGAGTGATAGCTTTCCCTTTATCACGAAAGCTAGCTTTAGCTAGCTGAAGTTTCTCCTTGCGTAAGCAAGGTAAGGGGCTCAACTGCCGAAAGATTGATTTTTTCAATTATTTGAGCCGAAAAGATTGAAAAAATCAATTATTTAGACCCCCCCCCCCCGTCTCAGGCTCGATTCCTCCTTGGTCCACCCCTCCCCCCGGGCAGTGGCTCAGTGTTTCAGCAGTCTCGGTTTGCCCGTTTTGGACTTGGTGTTATGAACTTTTACATGTTCCACCGATTCAGCTTGTTCATTTGAGACCTCAGTCTTCTCAGTAAACCACCTCGCAAGAATCTTTGCACACGCAGCATGCAGAACCCAGAGATGCTTTAAGACAGCTTCTGACGCCTCTCGAGGTTTGCCACGCTACCATGTGCGTTTGCGTGTCGCATCCTACGACTCTTGCCGGGCCTCTCGTTGTACACAAGCTACCTCTGAATCCACTCTGTCACCGACCCATCTCATGCAACAACTGCTAGCTTTCGTTCACCCGCTCCTCAAGTCAGAACACAAACATGATGTACCCTCCACCAACAAGGACACACCCATAGGCTTGTCTTTTTTGAGGGAACCTGACTGCCTTGGAGGGACAGCTAAAAGAGTGCCCACAGAACCTGACTGAATCTAGAAAGCGGTTTGGATGCGCTTTTTGTGGATTTCAGCCGTCCTTCCCCCTGTAGGTTGTTTTTCGTACTCTTTTAGTACTCTTTTAACATCCTACAGGGGTGGATCCACAAAAACGCATCCAAGCCGTTTCCTTGAAGGCTCAACGACCGGCGGGTAACTAAAAAAGGGGTGTGGGAAGGAGCCGGGGCGTCAGCCCCCGAAGCTTCAGCCAGTTGACCTGTGGGTGGGTGGGTGGGTGGGTGGGTGGGTGGGTGGGTGGGTGGGTGGGTGGGTGGGTGGGTGGGTGACTTGTTTCAATTTTCAGATTACCCCTTTTGTAGGTGGTTTGGATCGAAAAGTTAAACTCCTGGTTGTTGTAGGTAAATTTACCCAACCTCACCACCAAATCCAAACCAATTGGAACTGACATTTCTCGGATGCCTTCAATTCATTCATGAAGGGGAACCTCTTCACTTTGTGGAGGTATGAGTGTGTGCTGATCGTGGTTGCCAGAGTCAGCCAGAATGAAGTCTATTCCATGCATTCCTTTGACAGCCTACCAAAAAGCGTCCGGTTCCGCATGAAAACCAGCCCTCTCGCGAGAGAGTCATTGAGTCAAGCGCCAGACACTTTGAGGACTATGGGATTTGAAGCACAAAGAGGCTGGCATGCCCCTCTTTCAGCTGGGAGATGAGTCCAATGCAGACCTAGACGAGTCCGAGGCGGGGTGTGGCTGGGAGCCCGGCTTTTCGTGTATCCTTGGCCCGTACCTCTTGCAGCCACACGTTTTTCCCCACAACCTGGAAAAGGTCAGACCCTTTGATTTGAGAAGGAGGCTGGAAGCACCCTCCTTTTGGGGAAAACCGGGACACTTTTAAAGAGGAGATCGTTCGCACTGGAACGAGGTCTGTAAGTATTTCTACACAAGGGACACTCTTGAGGTCCCTGCAGCTGGATGTTGGAAGCGCCCCCCCAGTTTCTTACTTGTGAGTTTCTCTTTGGGAACCCCAGCGGTCCACTTGCTCGGGGATGGGATGCCCAGATTCGCGGCCTTTCCAAGCCCTTCTCGTGGCTTGTCCCATCCAGTGTTCCATGTGTCACGCTGCACCCATGGACGGTTTTGCCCTCTCGATTTTTCAGAGCTGAGGAGCTACCAGAAGTTTGTACGGACATGGTAGAAATGCTTGGCATGTGTTTGTCCTGGTATTCAACGTGCTGGTGCCATAGGCAGGGAATGAGATTGGAATGACCCCGAGAAAAACAATCCCCTCTTGTTTCCTTTTGGGAATCCCCCAGCTTCGTTCCCAAAATCCCTACTGAGCACCAGCAAGTCACTGCTTGTAGACGATTTTGGTTTAAGGTCGCCAGTTTCTTTGATGCCAAACAACACCTTCAAAGCGATTTCCGTGGACGTGGGAACCAACCACTTGTGCATCGCAGATTGCGGGTTCTGAAAGGGTGAACCCCTTGGTTGCCTAAATTGGTAGCTCGTTTTTGGGGAGTTGTACTGTACCCTTTTTGCGGTCTGTTTTAAACGGAAGCCAAACCACGTCCAAATCCTCAAAGAAAGACACGATGGTACCCCAAAATGGCACCTTGGCATATGGAAACAACGACTAAGATGCAGTTTGCCCGTAGTCTCGAGCCGCACAAATCACCGGAAGTCACCGGAAGTTGTTGGAGCGGTTCCGCATGAGGACAGTGAGCCTCCGAGGGTGCGGACGGTTTATTTGCTCAAGCAGACCCTCACGGATGCCCGGTCGCCCGGGGTGAGGTCTTTCAGGTGCTTAAACTCGAGGTCCTTCTGACATCGGTTTTCATTTGGCCATGGGGCATATGCTATGGCTCCATTTTTGGGTGGATGAACATCCATTTGCCACCTATTTTGATGTTCACCAGGGTACAGGGTTTTGACCCACAGCCATTTCCCATTTTTCCCCAAAGCAAAGTTCATGGCCACATGTGCAATGGGTCTGTGAATAACCTGTAGACCCCTGCCATGGCTTGAGAAAGGGTGAAACTCGCCGACGAAAACGGGAAGGTTGCCAACTCGACACTGAAAAACCATTGCAGCACAGACGATGATCGGACCTTGGCCCAACATAACCTTCCAAGCAGAGGCTATTCGAGCTTAGACAACCCAAGCACACAGAAGAGAAGCCTTTCAAGGTACAGTTTGCCTGCCATTAATGTTTCCTATCTTTCTTACAGTACCAATTCTTTGTTTCTCAAAGGGCAGGGTTGCTTCTCAAAGGGCAGGCTCAACGACTCAGAATGTCACTTCCACTCCCACTTCAAAAGACACCCGAAACTGGCGCGCCAGATTCCCCATGAGGCTGTGGCTCAAAATTAAACGATCGGAGGGGCAAACCGCAGGTTTTGGTACCCATGTTTCCACTTACCGGGTCGACCCTTTTTGGAATTCCGTTTGTTTTTGAGCCAGATTCGCCATGAGGCTTGTCTCAAACCGATGGCCGGATCGGCCGTTTCCCGGCCGGACCCTGCCTGGTGCCGCCTTTTGGACGGGGATCGAAGGAGTGTAGGGCTACCTTCACAAAAGGGCTGGGGTTTCTCAGGGCTCAAAAGAAGTTGTCGCCACCCTGTGAGTTACATGGTGCTTTTTCAGCACCAAAATACAGTTGGAAGCCACCATGGACAAGATGCAATGTTCAGGTGTATAATGCATCCGGATCCCTGTTTCTCTTCAGAGAGCGATGGGTGAACAGAGAGTGCCTGAAAGGCAACTATTTGGCATAATTTTTGGCAACGCATGGAACAGCCTTGCCTTACCGTATTTGATGAAACTGGTTCCCTATAGCCATAAAATTGAACTCAATGAGTTGACTCTGCTGAGGTTTCCCATTCGGATGCCAAACCCGATGGCCTCGCCATGCCGCTTGTTTTTTGCGCTTCCTTGGGCAAGCCAGATCCCTAAACCCGACTCGTCCTTCCAGGGCGTGACGCGGGACTGGGAGATCGAAAGCTGGCTAAGGCACATTCCTGAGAGGACCATCATTTAAAAATCCATGGCCCCGGCCATGGCCCCCAAAGATTCACAGATGGCTCGCCATGAGCAGAAACCATCCTATAGCAGAAACCAGCCGATGCCCCAGCTGCGGAGTCCAGCAATTCTTGCGCAGGTCTAGCGGGTTTGGCCCTCAACAGACCAACCAACCCCAAACCTCAGCCCCTCAAACCCCATGAGCCATTTCCTTCCCTCTCGCCACGGATTCCAGGAAGTTCTTGTTGGCACGCTTTAGGCACTGTTTTGGTGGGGGCAGCCCCCCCCCCCAATCCCCCCCCCCACTCCACATCCTACATCCCCCTCCCCGCTCCCCCCCCCCTCCCCGCTCCCCCCCCCCTTCCCCCCTCCCCCGCCCACTCCCCCTCCCACTCCCCTTTGTTCCCACGCGCCTCGCCGCTTCAAAAAAGAGAGAAAAACATCGACGAAGCCGACGAGCCGAGGCCGGGGCCATCTTGTGCGGCCGGGGACCACCTGGCACAGGCACCGGCCTGGCGCTGGCCATGTGCGCGGCAGTGCTGAACCAGGCAAAAAGGGGCGAACGCCGAACACGCCGAACGCGGAACGGCGCGCGTGGCGTGCGTGGCGGAACGAGCCGCACGTTTTTTTTGTTTCTCCGTTTCTTTTTTTGCCCCGCCTAAAACGAGTTTGTTTTCTTCTTTTTGTTTTCCTCTTGTTTTTTGTTTCTCCTAAGCCTTGGGTTTGTCTTTTCCATGGGTTTGGCTTCGTTATTTTCTTGCTGGTGCCCAGTAGGGAAAGTGGGAATGAACCCCGGGTTTGGTCCCCTCAAACACCACCAGTTGGATGATTTGTAGGGGTCTCTGAACATTTCCCTGCTGAGCGCCGGTCTGGGTGGCTCGTTTGTCAAATTTTGGGAGTTGGTATTTCCTTTTTTTGGGCTTTGGCAGGGGTGTCCAAAAGACAAACCGACGACATTTGCTCAAAGCGAATCGACCATTCTGACCTTGCTATCGGCCAACCATATCCAAACCCAATCCCAATCGCTCCCAAATGGGCTTGTCTCTAGAAGACCACATAAATGGCTGGTGTCCTTGTGTTCCCGAAAAGAAACACCCTAAAACATGTTCCCTCGAAAAATAAACCGACCATACTTCCCCTAGAGTTGTCTTTTCTTTGTGAGTACCTTTCTGGGGGGTCGGAAACAAATCGACGGAAACTACAAGAAAACCATGATTTTTAGGGTTCCCCTATTTTGAGACAAACACCAACAAACAAACGAGGTACCCTCAAAAAAAGATGAACCCAGGTGGTTGCCAGAGAAAAAGGGCTCGACAATTGCAACGACATGTTGCATGTGTGTAAGTGAGATGATTTGAACAGATTGAGAACAAACTCACTCAACTTTCGTATCATGTGCAAGTGCGGCATGAACGAAGCCGCTCGCACTCTTGCAGGCAGTTGACAGTTGATGGCAAATGATTCTTTGCAAATTGCCAGGGTTGCTTGATGAACAAGCTAAACTGCTAGATTGGCTTGACTGACATGGTTGTATTTGGCAGGATCTGAAATCAGCACATTTTCCACAATAATCATGGTGGCTGGGGGGAGGGAGGGGAGGGGGAGGGAGCCCAAATAAGCCCCTATTGAGCTCTGAATAAGGCCTTAGGGCTCCCTCCCCCTCCCCTCCCTCCCCAACCTCCATGAAATAACCATTGTTTCCTACTATTTGGCCGTGGCTAAAAAACGAGGTACCAAAATGGCACCTTGGTAAATGGGACCAAAGAAACTACGACCTGCGTAACCGTAGCTCTTCAGCTATTTCCATGCTTGAAGGGCCCTTAGCAAGAAGAGCGTGTCGGAGAAGATCAGAAGTGGAGCTATCAGCAGCAATGCTCTTGGGGAAATTCAGCCACCAAAAGGCCGCAGGTTTTACTCCGTGTTTCCATTTACCAGGGTTCTGTTTTGGGGTTACCCGATTTTTGACCCACAGCCAAATCCTCTGAACCAGCGCCATTGGCCTGAATGGCCCAGGACACCAGTCGCTCCAATCCTTTTTTGCACATGTCGAAGTACCGTCAAGTATTCGGTGTTTCATTGATCTTGTAGAAATGCACAAAACCACGGCAACCGATAGGGGACTCTCAGAAAACGATACCCCTGGAAAAGGATGGAAACGCTGGAAAACGACAGGGGAGTCTCAAACTAAGTAGCAAAATGGCCGTAAGTGGCCGTAATTTTGACCGTGCTTCAATGCTAAGAGCTGCAACTTGGTGAAGTTGATGCTGCAAGTTCCAAGTCGCAGTGAAGTGAGCCACAATCAAAACCTGGGTAGATGAAGGTTAGTAAGGGATAATCCCAACCTTAAATAGCTGCGGCCGCCTTCTTAATTCTTGTCAAGTGAGGGGAGCAAACTTGGAGAATCTTTTCCCCCCATTTTGTCCGACTGCCGGTGGATCCACTAAGCCAAGCGTGAGGACTTTCCCAGATTGACCGGCAGTTCAAACTTCAGTTTTCTTGGAGTCCACGCAGCGCGAAAAAGTAGAGCGAATACAAGAGCTCTATGTAAGCAGTTGAGTCCCCCAAAAATCAGGTTTTGCCTGGGTCACATTGCCAAGTGAATGTCATCCATCAGCTTTTCTTCTGGTGGGAACAACCACCCCTTTTTGTTTGGAGGGTATCATCCATGGAATGCTGGTCTGATACACGCGCTCAGGTCGCCAAGTTTTCACTGGTCTTTCTTCACACGGGTGAGGTTGTGGAATTTCAACCCCACGTGCTCAACTTGCTGATGCTCAGGGAATGAGGGAATGAACTAAACCTGGGGATGAAAGGAAGCCACCAGCTAGATGGTTTATGGGGGTTCCGTGTCTCATTCCCTTCTGACAAGGTAAGGAATCGACGATCTGAAGTAATGGGTGCCCTGCGCCTTCTCTTTACATGGGTTTGGGTTCTGCTGGTGCGAAGGAAACCACAGGAGATTTCGGGGGTCATTCCATTTCTCATTCCCTGCCTATCAAACCAGCAAGTTTATCTAAAAATGGGGGGGGGGGGGAGGGGGGCTCAGACCAAACCGTGCTCGAACAAAAAGGGGGTATCCAAAAATGAGGGCGGGGGGGGGGGGGGCGGCCTTAGACCAAACCCTGCTCGAACAAAAGGGGGGGGGGGCTGAGACCGAACCGTGATCAGAAAAAGAGGGGGTATCTAAAAATGAGGGGGGAGGGGGCTCAGACCAAACCGTGCTCACAAAAGGGGGGAAGGGAGTTTCAAGTCTATCTTCAAAAAAGGGGGGGGGGGGGCGGGGTTTAGAGGGGGAATGGCTCCTGGGCTCGGCCGATCGACGGGCGCCGAGCGCCGGCCGACGGGGCGTTTTGGTCGCTGTGTTGGAGGCCTGCGCCTCGACGTCCATCCTGATCTACGCGCAGAATCTGCTCCAGTCCGTCGGCGTCACCGAGAAGGCATCCGCCCCGCTTCGCGATCCGCGCGGATCGTTTTTTTTTTCTTTGTTTGCGGGCGGAGAGGGAGAAAAAAAGCGGTTGCGGCAAGGTGCGGAGGACCCAACTTTGCAAAGGTGGCGTTAATGTGCGGAGGACTCAACTTTGCATTTTGCCAAGGGTTAGAACTGTTGGGACTGAATAGCTGTTTGCCAACTAGTGGGTTTTCCGTATTAAACCGCACACTTCTAGCAGGGGAGCAGAAAGCAGCCGAGTCAACAGGTGAACACCAGCATGGGTACTTATTGGAGGCCTTCTAACAGTCTTTCGTTGGGCCAGACCCATGCTGAGATGTCTTTTTTTTGTCTTGTGAAGGGTGGGATTGGTAGAAACGGATGCTGTGAGCTCGATGGTGGCGACAAACCAGGAAAGGTGCAAGGAGGGGTGGTGGCGGTGGTGGTGACGACGACGATGATGATGATGGTAGGGATGCCTGAGTAGCCCAGCTGCAATGATTCATTCAGTTAGAATCTATTCCCCACAGGTAGCCACTCAGGTGCTAGTTCAGTTGGGTTTGTTGCCCGGTCAGTTTCTTTGGTTGTTTCTTTGGTTGGTTGGTTGGTTGTCGGGCGGTCAGTTTCTTTGGTTTCTTTGGTTGGCTAACCGGATGGGTTGGGCAACCGGAGGACGATCAGGACGCACAGACGCTGATCACCTTCGGTGCCAAGCTGCTCGGGGTGCGGCCTGGCAAAAGAAGCCTTTAAAAGGCGCTCGCGCGCTGCGCGAGTGTGGGCAAAAAACTGAGCATTCCTACAAATTGTTACACATCCATACAAACACACACACACAGTTACACGCCCATAATATATATATATATATATATGGAACAGCGTTGCCAGCCCCCCCCCCCCACCAATGGTCATGGGTCAGACAAGTACCCCCCTCCCCCCTGTGGTTGTGGTCCTGTGGTTGGGTTGTGGTGGTTTAGGGTTGGTTTAGAACTGGTTTAGGGTATATTTAGGGTGTATTTAGGGTTAGTTTAGGGTTGGTTTAGGGTTGGTTTAGGGTTGGTTTATGGTTGGTTGCGGGTTGGCTTGTCCTGAGGGTGGGGGTGCCGGGGTGTCGGGGTGCGAGTTGAGGGGGTCGGGGTGGGGGTGGGACCGTAGGTGCCAGGATGTGGGGGCTCGGGGTCTCGGGCCGGGCGGGGGGGGGGGGGGGGTGTCCTGGAGGACCCATACCATATGGGGGGGGGGGGTAGCAACACGGAACACGGGACCATATGTATATATATATATATTTCTATATGCACACAACACGCAGGAAAAGATATCGTGCATTACATGGAAGTCTACAGACCCCTGTAGAAAGACGACTTTCCTCTTGGAAAGGGCCTTTTTGCACTTCCATGTTAGTTGGTGGGAGGGTGGTATTCCTACAATTATTACACATCCATACACACACACACACACAAGCCAACACGCAGGAAAAAGTATATCGTGCACGACACGATTTTTTTTCTTCTCGTTTGTGTGTGTGTGCTCTTGGCGCTGGAATTGCGTGTGGAGGTGTCTGGTCTCATTTTTTCATGGTCAAAGTCGCCCTCTCAGAAGGTTAAAAGGAGACAACGCCCTCCAAAGTGATTGGTGGACATGGATCAAACATCGGGCTTCCATGATGGGACCAACTACTTTGGAGAGTATTCCTTCTCAAGATCCACAGCCATCATTGCGGATCCGCCAAAGAGCCACTCACTGGGAAGTTCGGCCCAGCGAAGACCAGCTCTTGCTCCATCAAAGAAAAAATCATATGGGTGTGGCTCAAAATAAAAGAGCTAGGGGTTACGCAGGTAGTAGTTTCTTTGTTTCCATTTACCACGAGGCCATTTTGGGGACATCTTTTTGAGCCACTGCCATATGATGCCCTTTTGGGAGTTGTCTTAAAGCGGGAAATCCGCCGATTTTTTTTTGGGGTCCGCTATTTTGAGTTTCGCGTTTGTCTCAAAATAGGAGTTCTTAGCAACCGGGTTGTTTCCTTTTCCCTTTCAACCAACCTCAAAAAAAGGTTAGCCTCAAGAAAAGGCAGCCCCCAAATATGGCAAGTGAATTTAGTGAGAAAGACGGTTCACACTCCAAAATACAAAACCCATCTGATGGTTCCCAGCCATGTGGTTCCTTAGGTTTTTAGTTGTTTTCAGCTGGTTTTAGTTTTGTGGTTTCTACTGAATACTAAACAGAAGACACTTCATGGCAGGGAACCGAAGGGGACCCTTCTCCTGGTTTGTAGAAAGGGACGCCAAGAACAGGGCTCCTTAAAAGAAACTCATGTTGCAACCAGTTGAAACATGTTGCTTTTTCAACACCAAAACAAAGTTGGAAACCACCATTTACAAGTTGCAATGTTCAGGTGTATAATGTAAAGATCCCTGAAGAATCACCCCCACCTAGGTCCCCCAGTGAGAAAAGTCCCGGCCGCCCTGCGGGAATCCCCCTTTCGCAAAATAGTCTTTGGGAAGCTTTTTCTGTATCACAGATTCGTTCATTCCATTCCCCCCCGCCCTTGGGGATCTCTGGGGCAGATTTTTCTTGGATCCGCTCTCGCCTTCGAGGCTTCTGGGCCTCTTCGTGGTGGACCGCGTGTCGCGGCGCCTGCTGCTGGCGGTGGGCGGTCTCGCCTGCGCCGCCTTCATGGCGGGGGGGATGGGGATGGGGGCGACGAGAAAATCGGGCTTCGGAAGCCATGGGAGTCGTTTGCATATATATATATATAGAGTGCATATATATATATATGTGTAGTGCAGATATATATATATATATATATTTGGCGAGGGTGGGTGGGTGGTGGTGGTGGCGCGCTTTGTTGGGGTTGGGTGCCCTTTCTGGCGTTTTGGGGAGCAATTCTCAATTAACAGGAGACCATTCGCGACAGGGGGGGGGTTGCACCAATTCTTTGGCTTGGGTGCAGTTTTTGTGTCGATCCCGTTGAGTGGGCTGGCTGACAGGATACCAGCCGTTGGGGCATGTGTGTGTGTGTGTTTTTCCCCAATGTGCTGACCTTGATCTTTTTGGCTTCGTTGGAACCCACCAGTAGGTCAATACCTGGTCCAGCTCTGACACAGGCTGGAGACCTAAGCATCAAATGCTTCGTTGGCCCGTGGCTTTTTCTTGAACGCAGGAGGGGTCCAATCGATTTTTTGCCCCATTGCTTGGTCTCCCTCGCTTTGCGAGAAGTTGGGCCGGCAAAAAAGACGTCTGCTTTTGATTGGCTCGGTACCCATTTGCTTTGAAGGGGAAGCAACACCAATCCACGTGTCTGTTTGGGGGAAACCAAGGCAGGGGTTTCTGTTTTGGACCCTCCGGCTCATGAAATCACAGCCTCCCATATGCCTGAAAAAGCAGTCCATGACAGAGTGGCGCGCGAGTATTTCACGGTTGTCATCGTCATATGGGTATGGGTCAAAATTAGTCACCACCAGGAATTGGACCACAGGTTTTAGTCATTGTTTCCATCTACCAGGGCAAGCCATTTTGGGGTTACCCTATTTTTGACAACCACAGCCATATTCCACATTTCACATTTTGGTTTCTTGGCTTCCGTCGGGCCCCTTTGAAAAATCCTGGTTTGGAGCGAGGAGCAAAAATGTTTTTTTTTGGTACGTGGCAGTGTCCCCATTTTTTTGCAGGTTTATCTTTGGTTTTCCTGCAAGACCAACCCCCCCCCCCCTCGCATTTTCAACGATTGGTTTCCTTCAACCCCCTACCAAAAAACGGGGAGAGCCTCCAGAAACGAGACACCCGCCTACCACTGCATCTCGCGCGTCTGAGCCTTGGCTCGGCGACTCCAGGGCCTTCTGATGGTGGGCGCCATGCTGAAGAGCGCCTCCCTGCTTTTGCGCCTCGGGCGGTTTTGCTCATCGCAAGAGAGCTAGCGGCGCTCGCCCGCGTGGGCGATTCGGGGGGGGGGGGGGGGGGGGGCGGGCCTTCGTCGCGCTGGAATCTTTGCCTTGGCTTTCTGTTGGGAGTTCGCTGGTCGGTTGGTCGGTCGGTCGGTGGGTCTGTGGGTTGGCTGGCTGGCGCTGCCTGGCGCTGGCTGGTTGGGTGGTTGGGTGGTTGGGTGGTTGGGTGGTTGGGTGGTTGGGTTGGTTGGTTGGTTTTGTTGGTTGGTTTTGTTGGTTGGTTTTGTTGGTTGGTTTTGTTGGTTGGTTTTGTTGGTTGGTTTTGTTGGTTGGTTTTGTTGGTTGGTTTTGTTGGTTGGTTTTGTTGGTTGGTTTTGTTGGTTGGTTTTGCTGGTTGGTTTTGTTTTGTTGGTCGGTTTTGTTGGTCGGTTTTGTTGGTCGGTTTGGTTGGTTGGTTGGTTTGGTTGGTTGGTTGGTTGGTTGGTTGGTTGGTTGGTTGGTTGGTTGGTTGGTTGGTTGGTTGGTTGGTTGGTTGGTTGGTTGGTTGGTTGGTTGGTTGGTTGCTTCTTGATCAGTGGATGCAAAGTTGTTGGCTAGTGGGAATGGTGATGTAAACCAGCCAGGTGATCCTGCTTGGCTTTTCGTGGAGTTTTCCGTTGAACCGGCAAGACTGGCCAGCATCGACAGGGAAAAGGACGCTCTTCTTGCCATTTTGGATTTAAGATGCACCCATTTTTCAATTCTGAGACGAGCCGCCAGTTTTGCGGGGCTTTGCGCCTGCAACATATAGCCGCCAGTTTTTAGGGGAACCATTTTTTGTCGTCGAGGCCCAAGACCCCAGGTCCAAACCCCGACCGCTCTCGGCGAGTTACACCTGGAATCCACGTTGCGCCGGGTTTGAGCGCACACACACACACACACAAACATGCATGTTTTTTCAGGGCTCCTTAAAAGATACATTTTGCCCATTTGAAACATGGCTTTTTCACCACCAAAATAAAGGGAGACCACCATTTACAAGTTGCAATGTTCAGGTGTATAATGCATCCGGATCCCTGTTTCTCCACTTTGTCCAGTGTTCCGCGTATCCGCACCACCTCGCGCTGTGATACGGGACGGATCCCCCCAATCCCCTGGCCGCTTCGATGGGAGTCTCAGATAACTTCGATGGGAACCAAAAGTGGGCATGGGGATATGGTTTTTGTAAGGCCGGACATTTCAACATGTATCTCGGGTATTTTTTTTGGGGGTTTCCCTTTTGCCGCAAGAAGGAAGGGTTGTTTAGACAAAAGGATACACACCTAGAGAAGGTCCCCCAGGATCGTGCCCTTTTACCAACTTTTTTGGGGGAGGGTTCCCCTACTAAAATAGACTACAGAAAAAGTTGCCCTTATGCTAACCTCTCCACTGGAGGACCTAGCCTTTATTACGACCACCAAAGGGGTGCATGAATAAAGGAGACACAATTACTTGTTTTTCCCGAAAGCATGGCGAAGGGTTCTTCCGCTGGGTTCACTTGAGTTGTTCTCATGAGAGTCATTACAAGGTGTCATTGCAAGGAATCATCATCATGAAAGTCATTGCAAGGAGTCATTGCAAGGAGTCATTGCAAGGAGTCATTGCAAGGAGTCATTGCAAGGAGTCATTGCAAGGAGTCATTGCAAGGAGTCATTGCAAGGAGTCATTGCAAGGAGTCATTGCAAGGAGTCATTGCAAGGAGTCATTGCAAGGAGTCATTGCAAGGAGTCATTGCAAGGAGTCATTGCAAGGAGTCATTGCAAGGAGTCATTGCAAGGAGTCATTGCAAGGAGTCATTGCAAGGAGTCATTGCAAGGAGTCATTGCAAGGAGTCATTGCAAGGAGTCATTGCAAGGAGTCATTGCAAGGAGTCATGGCAAGGATTGCAACTTGCACTTGACTCCTTGCACTTGCAACTTGCACTTGACTCCTTGCACTTGCAACTTGCACTTCACTCCATGCACTTGCAACTTGCACTTGACTCCATGCACTTGGCTCCTTGCACTTGGCTCCTTGCACTTGGACCCTTGCGCTTGCAACTTGCACTTAACTCCGTGCACTTGCGACTTGCGCTTGGCTCCATGCACTTGGCTCCTTGCAACTTGCAATGGCTCTCATGACTCCTTGCAATGACTCCTTGCAATGACTCCTTGCAATGACTCCTTGCAATGACTCCTTGCTGACTGCTTGCAATGACTCCTTGCAATGACTCCTTGCAATGACTCCTTGCCATGACTCCTTGCAATGACTCCTTGCAATGACTCCTTGCAATGACTCCTTGCAATGACTCCTTGAAACAAGCAAGGAGTCAAGTGCAAGTTGCAAGTGCAAGGAGTCAAGTGCAATTGACTGGCGAGGAGTTAAAATCTCTTCTTAGGGCGGCGGGGTGGTGCCGACGACACTACACGAAAATCGACCCTCTGCGGGGATCGGCGTGGTCGAGGTGCAAAAACCCATGGTTTTTTGATTTCTATAGTTCCCGCGCGACCCTCTGCGGGGATCGGCGTGGTCGAGGTGCAAAAACTCGAGGTTTTTTGCGATGTTTAACCTGCTCGCGCGACCCTCTGCGGGGATCGGCGTGGTCGAGGTGCAAAAACCCATGGTTTTTTTGCGATTTCTGCGGTGCTCGCGCGACCCTCTGCGGGGATCGGCGTGGTCGAGGTGCAAAAACTCGAGGTTTTTTGCGATGTTTAACCTGCTCGCGCGACCCTCTGCGGGGATCGGCGTGGTCGAGGTGCAAAAACTCGAGGTTTTTTGCGATTTCTAAAGTTCCCGCGCGACCCTCTGCGGGAATCGGCGTGGTCGAGGTGCAAAACCCCTTGGTTTTTTGCGATGTTTAACCTGCTCGCGCGACCCTCTGCGGGGATCGGCGTGGTCGAGGTGCAAAAACTCGAGGTTTTTTGCGATTTCTGCGGTGCTCGCGCAACCCTCTGCGGGGATCGGCGTGGTCGAGGTGCAAAAACACGAGGTTTTTTGCGA